CAGAGGGAGAAGCAGACTCCCTGCTGAGCAGGGAGCCCGATGCGGGACTCGATCCCGGGACTCCAGGATCATGACCTGAGCCGAAGGCAGTCGCTTAACCAACTGAGCCACCCAGGCGCCCTGTATACTTTTCTTTCTCTCCCCAGATGTCCTGTTTCAGCACCTCAGGCTGTAGAGGCTATAGAGAAAGAATCAGTCTGGGTATTGACTGGGTGAGGATGGACACAATGAAGGAGAGAGGCCAGAGTCACAGGTGGCTTTGGAGATTGAGTTTGGCTGACTGGGAGGAACCCCGGATGACAGACACAGGGGGATGATGGGAGAAACCAGTGAGGGTGCAGTGCTTTCAAACCAAGCAGGTGCTCTGCACTGGTTAGCTGTACCAGGGAAAGAAACATTGTCTTATTACCTCTGCCCATCCTTGTCCTCAATTGCTGTCTTGCAAGTGTGATAATTTTAAGTTATATGGGGCTTGGGAGAGGGGCCCGTGCATGACTGTTAATTTAGTGGAATAGAATCCAAAGCACATATCACACAGAGGGACATCTCTGTAACGTCCCCATTTAGCACTCTGTATATGCTAGAACTACCTGTCTGAAAATTTTAAGGAAAATTTCTCTTTTGGTTTAAGTCTTCAATATTTGGTAAGTTTTAGGGCTTCTAGACTGTTTTTAAGTTATAACATCTGTTTTCTGGAAGCTTCTATTTTGAAGAAATTTAATTGACTCAGTAACGGTCAGAATGCTAGTCCACAGCTATCATGTCGGTGTTCTGGTGGTGGCACCTGACTGGGAAAGGCTGTTCTCAGCATCTGTTTTCTCTTTTATAAACAAGCAAAATAGTAAACAAATAACAGGAAATCAAATGCCACAATTAAAGAATACTCTCTCAGATGACCAAATCAAATCCTCAAGAGTATTTCCATTTTACAGATCACAGAAAATAAATCTAATTAAAATAGGGGCACAGGTTTCATCTTTAGATATATATGGGATGTGTGTATGTGTTGCATTTTATAATAAGTCTTTTTTGGAGAAATAATAGCCCCTAAAAACACAGCTAAAAACATACTTAGAACTGAGGCAAATGTCCCCAGAGAAAGACCATCAGCCAATTTGTGACTCAAAGTCTGGTGTAGCCCTTCTATATTAAGCCATTTGTTGTTTGAAGAATCACCTTTTATGTATCAGAGAGATTAAATGATCTGAGTAGAGAAATATCATTGTAAATTCCAAAATGCTTCTGAAATTTATGCATATTATTTCTCGACAGGCTTTAAAGATTTAATGACCATAGGATTTAGTAAAAAGAAATGATTTAGAAGTATTTTTGGATTAATTTAAAGAGGATTTTATTTAACTTCCCAGGTTGATCTGCTGTTCTTCTATAAAATTAGCCCAAACTTGATATTTTGAAGCATTGTTTCTCAATGTGTGGTGTGCACAAACCTTTGAATATTTTTAAATTAGGTATTTTAATATTCATTTATGTCTAGACTCTACATAGCAAATGATACTGGTTTTCTGTTAATAGCAATGATATAAAACACTTTAGAATAAATTGATTTAAAAGGGTGTGTCTGTTTAAAGAAAATAGTAATACATGGCGCTACCTGTGGTGGTGGAAGTTGGGAAAGTTGACGCATTAAAGTGTGGGAAACATTGGCTTATTGGTAAATCATATAAATTATGCTATCTTATAGTACTATAGTACTGTAGTACTTTAACTTCAGTGATGTTGTTAAACAAAAACCTCACAGCCATTGGTTATTTATTTATTTATTTATTTATTTTAGAATGCTGGCTCTTTAAGACTCTTTTAGTAAAGAAATTGAGAGAGTTATTTGGGTCCTTGGTACCTGGCATTAAAGTTAATTAAGCAAAAACACAATCACTTTAATTGGTTGGCTTCTAGTAAATTAAAAATGCGGGGCACCTGGGTGCCTCAGTCATTGGGCATCTGCCTTCGGCTCAGGTCATGATCCCAGGGTCCTGGGATTGAGCCCCGCATTGGGCTCCCTGCTCCGCGGGAAGCCTGCTTCTCCCTCTCCCACTTCCCCTGTTTGTGTTCCCTCTCTCACTGTGTCTCTCTCTGTCAAATAAATAAATAAAATCTTAAAAAAAAACGCATTATGTCCAGTGCCGTTCTATTGAGAAGTTTCGAGGACTTCCTGGCAAGAGTAGTGCACTCTGATAAAAGGTAATGCATGTCCTCACTCCTCCAGGGGTAACTTAGCATGATACATACACCAAGCACTAGGCAGCAGGCTTTTGTTAAATTTTACCTGTCAAAAGTTTGGGAAGATTCTTTCAGTTTGAGTTTATCTATGCTAATATCTAGTGAGGAAAGTAGACAGCATTTTTTCCCCTGGGAAGCAGAAAAGGAAAATCAAAATATTTAGAAGATGCTTTGAAATTAATTTTATTCAGAAAATATTTTTAGAGATATTAGAATATCTGGCAACAAATTTTTGATATTAAATTTGGTTTTAGTTTTATTTTTTTTTAAAATTTTTTATTCATTTCAGAGAGAGAGAGATCACACGCGCCTGTGAGCCAGAGAGCATGAGCAGGGGGAGGGGAGGAGGCAGAGGGAGAAGCAGGCTTCCCGCTGAGCCAGGACCCAGATGCGGGGCTCGATCCCAGGACCCTGGGATCATGACCTGAGCCGAAGGCAGACGCTAATGACTGAGCCACCCAGGTGCCCCTAAATTTGGTATTTTAATGACTCTAGCATGCATACATACAGTAATGCACTCATTTATTACATTTCACCGATCATCAGGTTGTAAAAGGGCATTGTATTTACCTGCCCCCGGACCCTTCCTGGAATTTATATGGCCTCTGCTGGGTTTCACTTTGCACTTATTAATAATTTAGCACTGGGATAAAAATAAAAACAGACTCTCATCTTACAGTGTGAGAACATGGGTCATGTGTGCTAAGTCATGCAGGTAAGATGAGTAGCTAAACCCTGTGGGGTATCCAGTCTAAAGAAGGATTTCATGTGGACTGTTGCCTCTCCTGCAGAATGGTGCCTCGAAATTAAAGGGAATTAATGTAATTGCTCCTGAGGAGGGAAATGTAGTTTTGCTTTTCAAAGGTCGTTGTCTGAGCTTTAATTACGCCATCCAAACACAGAAGCCTTTTACAGCAGCTTTCCCTTTTAGCAGAGGTAGTCAACTTTCCAGGAGTGCTGCATCTTTAGGCTTGAGGAATCACCGCATTATAACTGACTCTATAGGGTATAATCTACACATTAAGGCCCAGCAAAATCCTGTTTTCATATTGGTTACTCAAAAGGGGCTTTAAAGCTAGGGTTGGTTTAAGTGGATTTTTCTGATTATTTGAGCTACAACTAGAGCTGTGATTCTCCCTTTGTAGAATCAGTGACTCACGCCTAGATCATTCTTTGACGGTGGTTTCATTTTCTGGGCTGTTTTTCTTTCACATTCGATTGGCTTTGGTTGGTGTGTGCCCTATCAGACTGTCAGGCTTACTTGTCAAATGAATATAGAGCTTTCTTTTAAACGCTGGAAGTCTCTTTTATGTATTTATTTTAGTTTCCTTTCTTTAGAGAAGACAGAATTAAGGTGTTTTCTAGTCCTGAAAATGTTAATGATTAAAAATGCATGTAATATATTGCTAGTGGGATAGCTTAAAACTCAAAGGAAATTTGTAAGTAAAGAGGAAGTCCCTGCTTTTTAAGAATTGAGACCCTGCCACTCTTGCTGAAATGCACAGGGTTTTGAAATAATGCCATTAATTCTAGGTAGAGAGGATCATTGGGAATAAAATTTGATTCAAACTGTAGAGGGAAATGTCCTCAGCTCAAAGTTAAGATATTAAATCATACTTAGAATAAAATTGGAGTCTGCCTATGGTTTGTACTGTTCTGCACTATTTGGCCACCACTTGGTTCTCCTTCCTGTGTTCTAGCCACACTGAGGATCTCTCTGTCCAATCATCAAGCTCTTTACCTCAGCAAGGATGGTGCCCTCGGTATTCCTGCTGCCTGGCAAGCCCTTCCTTCTCTTCCTTACTTTTCCATGGCTTGTCCCCTGCAGATCTTACCCTACATGTCTACCAGGGAGCCCTCCCTGTGCCTTCCTTCAAGTAGCCCCTTTCTATTCTCTTTCCAGAGCCCTGTTTATTTCCTTTTTAGCACCTATCTCAGACTGTATTTATTTTGTTAACTATTGTCTTTGCCCCATAATGTAAATTCTGTTAAGAGAGGTACCAGTACCTGGCACATATTATATAGTCAATATGCTGATTAAGTTGTTTACTGGTTTTAAGAGCTCTTTTTTGTTTCTTTAAGATTAGTTTATCATGCTGGGCCAGAGGGATTTAAGTATCCTCAATATCAACAGTCAAGCCAGTGTGTTTTCTAGTGCTCTTTTTAAAAAAAATTATTTGTGAATATTTTTATTTATTTATTTGAGAGAGAGAGAGAAGAAACCCAAGAAGACTGCACTGAGCATGGAGCCCGATGTGGGGCTTGATCCCACAACCCTAGACCACAACCCCAGCCGAAACCAAGAGTTGGGCGCTTGACCAACTGAGCCACTGAGGTGCCCCTCTAGCGCTCTTACCTGCATTCATTTTCAGTTTTGTTGTGATTTATTTTACTGTACTTTATTTTATTGTGCTGTGAATGCACAGTACAATAATGGAAGTAGAATTGTTCTGCTCCCAAAAGGGAGAACTCTGCCATTGTATCTGTTCAGTGTGCCTTTGTAAACAGCCCTGGATGGCCTCTTTATGGATCTGCCATCTGTCTCTAAGCTCTTACCCATTTCTAAGCCAAAGGCTGCGGCTTAGCTTCAAGCTGAAAAGGAAATTTTGGCAGCTTGGTTGCTGTCTTTTAAAGGTTAGCATTATCACCATGACTGACAGTTGTCAAAGTGGAAAAAGGGAAATGCAAATTTGGTGAGTAATTAAATTGGTTTTGTGTCATTCTTTGGTGGTGTTCTAAATGTTGCTATTTATCTGTCTTAGGTAATCTATTTAAAGAAGACACCAGAAGAAGCCTACAGAGCACTCCTGTCTGGCTCAAACCCCCCCTATCTTCCGTTCAGGTATAACTCGTGTGAGACTTGGGCTAATAGCACTTGGCTGGACAGCTGCTGCTGTAGAGTTGGATTGCTGTGTTTTTAATTGTCTTAAGACTGTGACCATGATGTTATACAGAATTAAATGAGATGGTAGCTTTTATTATTTTATTTTTGCTGAGTTCTTTTCCTCCTATCTAGTAAGAAAAAAATAGCTTTTTCCTTTTAGGAATTAATTTTCTCCTTGAATTCTTTCTGTGTCATGACCTTTCAGCACAAAGAGTGCCTGATTTATGAGCTAATAAACATGTCAAGATTTGACTTGTTAGATTTCAGTACTCTACATCATTGATTCATCCATTCAGTCTTTCATTTCATGAGCATGAGTGAGCTCTGACTGAATGAATGTTGGGGCTGGGGATAGAGAGTAAGACCCTCAAAGTACCTTCTCAGAGACCCATGTTCAATGGGGACCCAAAATGACCTGTTTAGCACATGAATCTAGCTTATATCTTGAGGAAGGCTGTTTCTCATTACAGTGTTGGAAAATACTTTTTAAGTATCAGCTGAAGAAGGTTTTTTAAAAATTTCAGGTAAACTTGAGCTTGTTTAAAAAATGGAAGGGAACATATAGCCAAACTCCTATAGTGGTCATTTCTGATAGAATTATGAAAGATTCTAACAGTTTTATTTTTGCTTTTTGTTTATTTGTGTGTCCAAATCTACAAACATCTGTAATTCTCTTTTTTTAAAGATTTTGTTTATTTGAGAGAGTGAGCAAGAGAGCACAAGCCGGGGGAGGGGCAGAGGGAGAGGGAGAGGGAGAAGCAAGCTTCCCGTGGAGCAGGGAGCCCGATGTGGGGCTCGATCCCAGGACCCTGAGACCATGACCTGAGCCGAAGGCAGGTGCTTAATGGACTGAGCCACCCAGGTGCCCCAGCATATGTATTTCTTATTGCTGTTAATCTCATAATTACCGACAATAATGAAAGAAAGGAAGAGCAAAGATTGAGGAGGCCTCTTTGTCCGTCTTCCTTACTCTCCTGTAAACTCACAGAGGGCAGGTCTTGGTGCCTGACACTTAAAAGTGATTTTAGCAAATATTTGAATGAATAAATCAAGACTAAATCCCTTCAGATCCAAGGGGTTCCCATTTCTGTTTCTCAGGCCATAGGAGGGAGCGTTAATTAGGCACAGGGTGGGTGTCAAGGTCGGGAGGAGGAATGGGGGAGATACTGCCTAATGTGCTTGATCTGCTTGATCTGTTTGATAGTCTCAGGAAGTCAGAGGAAAGTAGTGAGAGGAAAATATCCTCCAGTGATCTAGGGGATGAACTAATTAGCTACTGAAGGGCGGATAAAAAGTGACAGATTATGTATAGAAGCATTTTAACGTGGAGACAAAGCTTGTTTTTTCCTTCCACTCCTAATGGCTTCTATAATTTGAAAGCCCTTTGTAAAATACAATTCTAATTTTTAGAGAAGGGTAATTATTTTAGTCAGTGTGGGCTACTGTAACAAAGTAGCATAGACTACTACCAGTGGCTTATAAACAACAGAAATTTATTTCTCAGTTCTAGAGGCCGGATCAGGGTGGTCATATTCTGGTGAGGGCTCTCTTCAGGGATGCAGACTGCTAACTTGTATCCTCACATGGTAGAATGAAGGAGAGAAAGATCTCTGGGGTACCTTTTTTTTTTTTTTAAGATTTTATTCATTTATTTGAGAGAGAGAGAAAGAGTGGGATGAGGGGGAGAGGGAGAAGCAGACTCCCCGCTGAGCAGGGAGCTTGACGTGGGGCTCGATCCCAGGACCCCAGGATCATGACCTGAGCCGAAGGCAGACGCTTAACCCACTGAGCCACCCAGGCGCCTCATGGGGTGCCTTATAAGGGCACTAATTCCATCTTGAGGGCCTCACCCTCATGACCTAATCACCTCCCAAAGGTCGCATCTCCTCTAATATCACCTTGGGGGTAAAGATTTCAACATGTGCATTTTGGGGGGATACCAACACTCAGTCCATTGCAGTAATAATGAAAATATTAATCACTCTACTAAGTTCTAAGCCTAGTGGTTAAGAATATATGCCTTGGAGGCAGAGACACTGGGTTTGAAGGTTCATTCTGCTTTTTACTACCTGTAGAAAGGATAAGCAACTGGAGCAAGTTACTTCTACTCTCTGAGCCTCTGTTTCCTTTTCTGTAAAATGGCTTCAGGCTGTCCTGGGAATTAAGTGAAGTAATGCGCTTATCATTATGTCTGGCACAGTAGCTGGCTTTTGTTTTTCTCCATGTTGTTAGTACGATTACTATTATTAGTAAGAACTAAGGATTTTCCACATGGATATAAATATGAATAGAAAGTATTTCTTCTAATGATCACACCTAGTTGGGGCAGGCAGATCTCTAGGCACGTTAATTAACTGTAAAATAGGTTGTATAAAAATAGAGGATAAGATTAATTCTTTTTTTATTAATGTATATTATATTATTTGTTTCAGGGGTACAGCTCTGTGATTCATCAGTCTTACATAATTCACAGCGCTCACCATAGCACATACCCTCCCCAATGTCCATTCCCCCAGCCACCCCATCCCTCCCACCCCGCTCCACTCCAGCAACCCTCAGTTTGTTTCCTGAGATTAGGAGTCTCTTATGGTTTGTCTCCCTCTCTGGTTTTGTCTTGTTTCATTTTTCCCTCCCTTCCCCTATGATCCTCTGTCTTGTTTCTCAAATGAGGATAAGATTAATTCTGACAGAGATTTGGGAAAGTATCAGACTCATTTAAGCTGAGCTTTTATTTATTATTTTTTATTTTAAAGATTTTATTTATTTATTTGAGAGAGTGGGCGAGAGAGAGCACAAGTAGAGGCAGGGGGAGAGGGAGAAGCAGACACCTGGCTGAGCAGGGAGCCCGATGCGGGGCATGATCCCAGGATCCTGAGATCGTGACCTGAGCTGAAGGCAGATGCTTAACCTACTGAGCCACCCAGGCGCCCCTAAGCTGAGCTTTTAAAGCTAGATAAGAGTTTGGAGAATGGAAGGGGTCAAATTAGGCACAGTTATGCGCTATGGAAAACGCTGGAGGTGTGGGGTTTCTAAGGTGACCTCAGAAGTTCTCTGTGGGAGGAGTACAGCGTCTGTGGTAAGAGAGGGGTCGTGTCTGCACAGGATTACTGAGGTACTTTACCCGGGGACAGTGAGGGCTCATTCAATTTGTTTGCTAAATTGGAAATATGTTTGCAATTTTTTTTGGTTGTTATTTTGAAAAATAACACACACAGCTGGAAATTATAATGCTGTAATATTTGTAAAATTATAATGTCAGTCAGTAGGCCCGCTGGACAGTGTAGCTATTTAAAAATTTTAAGTGGAAAATATATATTAAATTTTATGCTGCTGATATTATCCATTCAGAAGTCAAGGAAGATGTATTTCTCTTTCACTAGCTAGATGACCCTTGCTATCCTTAACTGTCAATTTAGGTGAAGATCCTGGAGGAGGAGGAAAGAATAAATTCTTTTAAGCATAATTATATGTTTAGCTTATATGTGCTAGGTAATTAATTTGTTTCCTGAGAACTAGAATTTTTGACTAATTAAGATCAGAATAGAAGAAAAGATAGGAAGAAAATTATTATCACTTAACATAGAATTAAGCAATAATTATTACAATTGTAGCCTATTTTTCCAAATTGTTTTTATTTAAATATTTGAAAATATAAATATATTAACATGGTTCAGAAATTTAAAAAGTATGTAAGGTTTACAGTGAAAACTCTCTCCCCCACCCTTGATCTTACCTCTCTAATTTTTTCTGGATAACTTCTGGTATTTGTTTCTTCCATATCCTTCTAGAGTTTCATATAAGCAAGTATAATTAGTATTATATTAGTTTCAGGTATACAGTATAGTGATTCAGCAGTTCTACACATTACTCAGTGCTCATCACCATAAGTACATCTTAATCCGTTTCATCTATTCCACCCATGCCTGCCTCTCCCCCCGACCTCCCCCCTGGTAACCATGTTTGCTCTCTATAGTTAATTCTGCTTTTCTTGGTCTCTTTTTTTCTTTTGTTTTGTTTCTTAAAATCCACGTATGACGGAAATCATGTGATATTTGTCTTTCTCTGACTTATTTCGCTTAAGCCTTATACCCTCCATATCCATCCATGTAGTTGCAAATGGCAAGATTTCATTCTTTTTTAATGGCTAACATATGTCTTCTTATTTTTCATTTTTATCACAAAATGTAGCACACTGTATATACTATTCTATACCTTGCTTTTTTTCACTTAACTTGCCTTGGATATCTTTTCATATCAGCACACGGAAAGCGTCCTTCTCCATTCTGTATTATTTCTGTGTAATGTACAAGAACTCATGTAACCAGTCACACATGTAGACATTTAGGTTGTTTGCTATCATTTCAGTTGTAGCTTTTCAATTCACGTGGTCTGAAATGTATTTTAGAAGAAAGAAACTGAGACACTACTATGGAGAAAATTATAGTGTTGTGGTTAGACGTAAAGGGATTTTAGTAATCTGTTTGCATAAAGGTATTCATTATATGAGAAAAGAATGGTTAATGAAAAAATGAGGCATTTCTTCCTTGGTTTAGGCACCTGTTTCCTACTAAAAGGTTGAATGTAACTTGAATGTAACTCTAAGTTTTACCTTTCTGATAGCCCAAGACATCAAGAGTTGTGTTTACATTAAGCTGTGTTTCTAAACCCAGACTCTTCATAAACCATACATTTGAAGCAGAAAATACCACAAGGTAGTGTAAAAAAGGTAGTTGAAGAAATAGTACAGGTTTTCTGGAATTTGACTAAAGAGACTTACTTTTTTCCTAATGCTAAGATAAGATGGGAGTTGATTTTAGTCTCTAGCCCAGACCAACTAAGGCTAATACAATATTAAGAATCATCTTACAGTTCTGGTCAGCCATCATTGCCTTGGCCTTCATTTGTAATCTGGATTCTGTCATCCACTAGGTTTTTTACATCATTTATTGTTATACTTT